CCTTTATAGTTATGACAGAAGTTTATTTTAGCCCCCCCACACCATGACTTTGAACCTTGGTTTGGCCTGAAAATTGCCAGATTTTCTCTGAAGCCAAAGGAGCATATTTCTGAAAAATTTGGAAAAGATTTATCAAACTATTTTTGGCTTACAGGGTATTAAAAATTAACCTGACTTGAAACGGAAGTCAAATCTGCCTCTCTCCAGCTCAAACTTTACATCTAGTTAAATCTCTTTGAAAACTCACGTGTTAGCTATATTTTAGGAAAATGGGTTATAATTAAGCAAAGTTCTTAATGGATTTTGTTGTGGATCATCTGGGGCCCAGTCCCGCTCCACTTGATGTGAATGGGACTCTTTTTGCTATTGACTTCCTTGAGGGAATGGGATCGAACACTGTATGTTTGGGGCAACTGGTTGCCTTCTTGGCAGGGGTCAGCACCACCATGTTGACAAAATTACTGTACTTAGTGATGGACATGGGGGGGTGTTGTGTTATGTCATTCAGTCATTCAATTTTCAGCCACGATGCTTCCTGGTAATGATCAGGTTGCCATCTGGACTAGCAGAGATGGATTTTATTGATTGAGTTTAAAAAAAAATTTTATACCACCACGATTGAATTACTTGACACAGCAATTGTTTCCTATTACTGTCACCCTAGCCCTCCATTCTCCATTCCTTCTGTTTGCTTCATCCACTTGTTACATCTTGTTTTCCATTACATGGTAAGTTCTTTGGGACAGGGACTGAATTTTATAAAGTGTTTGGACAGGGCCTATCACAGTCAGGGCCTGATCCTAAGTGAAGGTCTGGGTTTTACAGTAATACAAATAATAATGATAGATCCTTATAGACCATGATCAACTTGCTTCTCACCCTTTTCTACAATAAGCTAAATAGATTGAGGTTCTTAAGTCTCCCATTGTAATGCAGATTTTCCAGACCTCAAATCATACTTATCACACTTTTCTGAGCTCTTCTTTTAGCTCAAGTGATAGAAGACTGCGATAATATAACTAGCACTATAAAAAAAAACAATGAAGCACCTATTACATTGGATTCATCGGATAACTGGAATACTGTGTCCAGTTCTGGTATCCAAAAGGCTGTTGAAAAATTAGTAGGGTATCAGAAAAGGGCTACAAGAATGATCTGAGGCCTGGAAAACCTGTATTGTAATGGTGTCAAGTATCAGGGGGTAGCTGTGTTAGTCTGTATCCACAAAAACAATAAGGAGTCCGGTGGCACCTTAAAGACTAACAGATTTATTTGGGCATAAGCTTTCATGGGTAAAAAACCTCACTTCTTCAGATGCATGGATTGTAATGGGAGACTTTAAAAAGCTCAGTCTATTTAGATTATCATAGACACGGTTAAGAGGGAAGTGATCGTGGTAGGTAAATACCTCCATGGGAAGAAGATCCCTACAGATAAATGCATAACACAATCCAGTGGCTGGGAGCTGAAGCCAGACAGATTCAGCTGAAAATAAGGTACAGAGGTTTAACACTGATGGGAAATAACTTGTGGAACAGCTTACAAAGGGTTGCAAAGGATTTTGCCCCACTTGAAGGCTTTAAATCTAAACTGGGTATGTTTCTAAAAGATCTGTTTTAGCCCACCCAGAAATTATGGGCTTAATGCAGGAATCATTGGGTGACATTTTAAGGCATATGTTTAGCCAGGAGGTCAAACTCGGTGAACACAATCCTCTATTAAGGCTTTAAACTCTATGAATCTATTAATTCTGGAGTTACAGGACCAGCCACTCGCCCTGGGTCTGGAAGAGAGGTGGTAGGAACTCTGTAGTGAGCACTGATTTTGATAGCTTTCATAACTCAAGTCAGAAAAACTGTTCCTCATGTTTTCAGATGTCCAGAGTTAAGTCTCATTGGCAACTGGGTCATGGTCTGATAATGTTGAATCAGCGCCAGCGCTAAGCATAAGCAGACTAAGCAATTGCTTAGGCCCCGAGCAGCTCAAAGCTTATTCACTTATTATATTATATTCTTCTTCTTCTTCTTCTTCTTATTATTATTATTATTTTCAGAAGAACTTGTGTTGTGGAGGTGGGGGGAATATTCCTGCATAGGTCCCCCTGTGGGTTAGCACCACCTCTGTTGAACACATTAATTACTTTATGAGATTAAAAAGATTTCAACATTGAAAAAGTTTCAGAAAGGAGCCAAATGTCTAACTTTCTTCGTGCCCTTCTGCTTACCCAATGAAATCGTATTATAGCACAGCATTTGAATCACACCTGGAATTTGACAACAGGTGATACAAGGGGCAGTTTTGAAGGGCAGGACAGTAATTTTTTTTATAAATTGACATCATTTGAAAACTGAATGATTCTCCATCATTCAAGCTGAGGAGAAATAATAAAGCCAGTGGAGACCCCTATCATCTGTGAATTCTTCCAACAACCAAAGCAAAGACACTGAGTGAAACACTGATTGTATCCAGTGCATTTTCAAGGAACAGTTATTTTCACACTAATTTCAGGGTTGCCGAGGTACACAGATGTAGGTTTCCAGTCACACTTTGCTTGGCCAACTCCACTTGCTCTTTAAAGGTGCCCTTTTTGAGTTTGGGGCAGGGTGAGAGATGAACAATCTTATGAGTCTCTGCCTGGTCCACGAAGATCCATTTCTGTTTGCTTTACTTTTGTCAAAACCTCTATTTTCATGAGTTTTTAAATTTAAAATAGTGGCTCTGACAGCCCCTTCCCTGCCCAAAAAAGAAAGTGAAAGAGATTTAGTGATGTCACCTCTATTTGTATGCCAAGCAGATACAAATAATATTCCACTTTACCTCTCTCTGTCATATTCTTACACATTGCTAGATTGCTGCTTTCTAGCATAGCGTGTGTGAAGAGGGAGGAAATGCCCAGATTATGAGGAATTCACATTACTGCCCTGATTAACATCCATAGAGTTTGTGATGTCTCCTCCCTACGCAGAAAACAATGCTACATGAGCTACTGAGGCAGAAGGCAAACTTCAAGGAGAAATAAAAGATAGATGAAAAATTGCTGTTGTTGTTTTTAAAGAATTAGTGGGATTTACAAAGGCAGATGCTAATAGATGGGGGGGAGGGATAGCTCAGTGGTTTGAGCATTAGCCTGCTAAACCCAGGGTTGCAAGTTCAATCCTTAAGGGGGCCATTTAGGGATCTGGGGCAAAAATCTGTCTGGGGATTGGTCCTACCTTGAGCAGGGGGTTGGACTAGATGACCTCTTGAGGTCCCTTCCAATCCTGATATTCTATGAGCATGGCAAGAAAAAAAAATCACCTAACCTTTGCAACAATATACCCATCTGCAAAGCCCTTCACTCCATGCATGAAAAAAATGACATTAAAATAATGGTATTAGGTTGCAAATCAAGCCCTTGAAAGTTAGGAAATGCCAGATTTACAGTTGCCAGTGCAATGTTAGTTCTACCCCTTATGTGTCCACCCTGAATGCAGCTGGGGATCTGATCATGTAATTAATGATTGTATCACAATGCATAGGGAGCAGGTCTGGCATTACTCAGGCAACCTAAACTCTGGTATTACCTAACTTTTGAGTGCTTCACCTTAAATAATTTTGTTAGTGTTTCAATGGAAGGTCCCCCCACCCTGAAAAAATAAGGTTAGAAACAAATTCTATGATGGGCAACTGCAACAACTTCCCCACATTATCAATAAGACTTCAATCCTGAACTGTCAGCGGTGCAGCATAGACTATTACCTCTTGAATTGCAGGACATTAGCTAGCAGCTGGAGAAGGCCCCTATCCTGAGGTCAGGGTGTAGGATTGCCAGTCGTCTGGTTTTTGACCAGAACACCTGATCAAAAAGGGACCCTGGCGGCTCCGGTCAGCACTGCTGACCGGGCCGTTGAAAGTCCGGTTGGCCGCCCACAGAAGGGCAGGCAGGCTCCCTACCCGGCTCTGCGTGGCTCCTGGAAGCGCCTGGCATGTCCCTCTGGCTCCTAAGAACAAGGGTGGCAATGGGGGCACCATGCACTGCCCCCTCCCCAAGTTCTGACGCTACAGCTCCCATTGCCCAGGAATCACGGCCAATGGGAGCTACAGGGGAGGTACCTGCAGACACGGGGAGTTGCCAAGACTCCCAGATCCCGCAACCTGAACCCCCTGCCCTGAGCCTCCTCCCACACTCAAACTCCCTCCCGGAGCCCACACTCTCCACTCACGCCCACACCTCAACCCCCTGCCCCAGCCCTGAGCCATCTCCTGCACTCTGAACCTCTCATCCCCAGTCCAGAGCCCCTTCCTGCACCCCAAGCTCCTTATCCTGGGCCCCACCCCAAAGCCCACACCCCCAGACACCCAGAGCCTGTACGCCCACCCCCAGCAAGGGGAATGGAACGAGCAGAGGCGGGGCCTCAGAGAAGGGGCGGGGCCAGAGAGAGCAAGGGTGTTTGGTTTTCTGCAAACAGAAAGTTGGCCACCCTATCAGGATGCACAAATGGGTTTAGCTGCTAGGAGGAGAATCTCCTGGCCCGAAGGGGCTGGCTGTGTACCTTGCACCACTGTACCTAAATGGGTGGAGGTGAGACCAGCCATGCACTGTTAAGGAGTTTGCACTGAGGGGGGGTCACTCGGTTTTGGGGTGTCCCATTTGGAAAGGTGACACCGGTTTCAGGTTCCGTTTTACACTGGAGCATGAGCAAGCGCAGCCAAGGCCAAAGAACAGGCACCTCGGCAGCCCTGAGGCACCGCCCTGAGCCAGCCCCTCCACGCGGGCTCCTGGCAGCGCCCCCTGGCCAGCCACGTGGCCCGCGAGCACGCCCACCTCAAGCCCCGCGGGCAGACAGCCCCGCCCCGGCCACGCCCCCACCTGTCCTCGAGCGCCCTCCGAGCGCGCGTGCACCCCCCTCCCCATCCCACTGCACGTGCTTCCCGCGCGCGCTCCCCCTTCTGCCGCCTTCCTCCCCTCGGCCGGAAGCCCCTCCCCCAGGCGCGCGTCATATCCGCCCGCTCGGCTCCGCAGCTCCAATATGGCGGCGCCCTGTGGCTCCTCGCAGCTCCCGGCCGCCGAGTCGCCGCTGAAGATCCCCAAGATGGAGGTCCTGTCGCCGGGCTCGCCGGGGGCGCTCAGCGACGGCAACCCCAGCCTCTCCGACCCCTCCACGCCCAGCGGCGCCTCCCCGCTGGGGCCGGGCGGGCCGGGCTCTGCCGCCGCCGCGGGGGCCGGGGCGGGGGGCGGCGGCGCGGGGGGCCGCGGCGGCGCATCGCCCTCCG